CTACATTAATTCGTTTAAAAACAGGATGACTTTTATTTTCAAGCACGAACAACACAAATTCGAAACTGAAGATGATTCAGACGACGGCTTCATTTCAGTAATATCTTCTCTAATTCCAAAAATATCCAGCATTGTTACAAAAAACAAATCACCTATTTCCTTAGGAACTCAAGCTAGGATTGTCTCAAAGGACAAAGCAATGAAAGAATTAAATAAAAGAAAATTAAGAAATAAGAGATTAGAACCACAATGAGAAGGATTGCTTGATATGATTCCAAAAATATCCAATGTTATTTCAAATATTGAAGGATTAGTTGATTTGATTCCAAAAATATTCAATGTTATTTCAAAGATTAAAGAATCGAAAAAACAAGCTGTAGAAAAACGAGGAAAAGGATTTAAAGGTGTAGGATAATTTCTATTCAAATTTTGACCTTATAAGAATTACAGACTAGATCCAATCTTTCAATTATAATTTATGATCCAATTCAATATTCAATTAATAAGAAAAAAGAGGATTATATAATCATTTCATCACCTGTTGGTTCTAAATCTCAACTGAATGATGGAGGTAGAGTTACCATCGAAATTAATTCATTGTTGAATTGGATGCTTCAAGTTCCACAAACCAACACAACGTTAGAAAACAATTTCTTCCCATCTTTATTTAGCGAAATGGTTATGGAAGCTGATTAAATCCTATAGAAACAATCAAACACCCAGGTGAATTTGATACAATGCTGAAAACAGTTCTATATCCCCAAAACTTTGATGATCAATGATGATAAGATATTATTTAACACCATCGTCAAAGGATTATAATGAATTGTATAGAAACTATAAAAATATGTGTGAATTATTTGGAAATCCATCGCTGTTTGATGAAGGCAGAAACTTTAGTCAAGAAAATAATAGAAGCTATCGAAACAGAATACTATACTTCTCGCCCATCGGGCGAGTTATTTTTTCTAATTTCAGATCAGAATAAGAACAGAAGAAAACCCAATATCAAGACCCTTAATCCTAATTTCTAAATAAAGTGTCTGCTCCACCCTAGGCCTGTACATTTGGGAGAATCAAACCCTCCCTTCCCCGAAATGTAATAGTGTTATTGATATATACAAACAAGTCAGAGACGATATAGACTTAGAAAGAATTGATAAAAACGTAAAGGAAGATGGATTGATATTTGCTGGTCTTACTGCCGCTGGTGCAATAGGAGGAAACCAAGAAAACTGTTAAACAAGGATTAAATAAATTAATAGATAGTATTGACATTGGAGAAATGAGGGGAATAAATACATAAGGGTAATGCTATAGTTTTAAAAAACATACATTCTGGAGATGGACTCTTTCTTTCAAAGTATCAAGAAGATGGAGTGATTTTTTCAATAAAATAAATTAATGACAAATGAGAGAGATATTCAAACATTCAGCCAGATTTTCACAAAACCTAATGCTCAGGTGCCTTTGCAGAAGTTCAAGTTCTGGGAAAACTCATCTTACTTTTAACATGTTGACGACACCAATCCTTTTAGATTTCTAATCTCCGTACATCTACACCAGAGCAATCATATTATCAATTCCTAAAAGCTTTAGAACATTTACCAAAGAAAGACGTTCAAGACATATTTCAATATTATGAAGACAACAAAGAAGAAGTGGAAGATAAAAGATATAGAAAACTTCATTAAAGCAAAGAATCCATCTTTCAATCCAACCGACATAAAGTGTTTCTTACGAAAAATGTCAATGATCTGGATTTGTCTAATATTGATAGCAACCGAAAGAACTTAATAGTATATGATGAATGCGTAGCACAAAAAAGTCAAGCTGTTCAACAAGAATTCTTCACGAAATGAAGACATCACAACTGTCACTCTATATACCAATCCCAATCTTTTTACGGAATGGATGCTATTATTGTTAGAAAGAACGCAAATTGTTTTTTTATTATTCGAATTAAACGACAAAGATTTATCTAAAATTATTCTGTCAAGAAATAGCGGGATGGATAGAGATGCATTTAAAAAAGAATGTAAAGCTCAATGGAGAAATCCAGACGATCATGGATATATATTACTAGATATATAAATACTAGAAAACCTGCGGGTGAAAGAGTTATGACTAACATCTGTTAAGCAAACAGTCAAATTTTATTTTTTTAAAAATGAGTAGTGATTGAAATAGTATTTTAAAAAGAAATAGAGAATATATCAAAACTAAGAATAAAATAAAGACCGAGGTTGAAAATAACATCTTGGATTAACAAAAAATCTATAAACTCTATTTCAACCAATAATAAAAACTCAACAGGATATCAAAAAGAAATTATCTTTAGAATCTACGCCTTCACCCACGCCTCATATAGATCACCCCGTTCCAAAACCGATTGAATATGGTGGTATTATAACTAGGACATTAGATGATATAAAACATTATTTTTCAAACCCTGACCCAGATTTATCGAAGAGTATTAAACCAATCGTTGATGAAGTGGGGTTTAATAGTTTTAGAATAATATTTAGAGCAAATTCACCCGCATTTAAAATCGATAGAAAAGACTTTATATTTACCTTAACAGAAGGGTTAATAAATTTAATGAATGGGATGTTGACATTGCAGATTACAATATTCAAAACTTCTATATGCAATTAAAAAGTCAGGACCCGAAACAAATAGATTGAAAGAAGTTGAGTTATATATAAGATTTTTTTCTTTCAAAATGCTTTCATAACTGCTCTCGCAAGTCGTTTTGGCAATCGATGAAGATATCTGTTATGTGAATCCATGTTCATGTTTTGATTCGTTTAGTAAAGTTCATAAAATTCTGTTTCAGATTTGTTCCATATTTATTTACTAGTTTAGACTAGAAATATTTAAGACAACTGACATATTTCAGTCTGCCCCCAAAGGTCCAAGGTTTAGTTCTTTGCAATGTAAAGGGATAGATTCGCTATCCAGTTAACCAATCGTACCATAGTCTCAGAAACGTCAATTGGAAGCTAATAAAGTTCAATGATCATCGTCGAAATTTAGGCCTCCAAATGTGTATCCAGAGTTATCCTCATTTGAAAGTTAAAATGATTCGCATTTGCTTGAGACTTCGCCAGATATAGATACATATCTCGTATATTATGCATGAAATTGAATTACAATTCCGCTTCATTTATCGGATATTCTGTGTTTCCATTTTAATCTAACAAATATTTCACCCGTGTGTACAGTCTTTGGCGCAACTCAGGCATCGATTACTAGGTCTTTTCTGACCCAATTCGGGCGGTTCGGAGAGTTCAGATATTCTACAACGTCCTTGTGCCCCAAGTGGTATTGCAGAATTGCTGCTGTGGGTGAAGTCTGTATAGGAAATCGTTAACATTATAAAGGTAAAACTTTAATACAGGCACTTACAGATTAAGAAAAAGGTTATATAAATAAACCTGTCGTATGTTGAGTATGAACTGTGTATAGACCACGAACTGTGGTTCTCAAATGTTCTTTTGTAGAACCTAGAAATAACTTTTTCTCACATGAAATCTATTCCTATATGTTAGCTAAAATAAAAATAAAAACAATATTCCCACTTTCAGAGAGTGTCACAACTCCATATTTTAGCTTTCAGTATTTTAGTTTAATTTCTACAAATCTTGAATGTTAATGAGCGATAAAAATCGTCTGAGAAACTGTGAGGCATTTGGGATTTGTTGAATATATGGTGCAGTTTCCCCAGATGTTATAAATCAGTCAAATAAAAAACCTGTTCGTCAAATGAATGAATGAAGATACACATTACGTTCAAAAATGCTAAACTTGTAAAGGGAGATAATAAAAATACTTTTAATGAACACACAGTTAAGTTTGCAGTTGCAAATATGAAAGGACTGTTAGTTATACTAAGAGACAATTTAATACTTGTACTTCACATTTAACAAATTCATCTTAATACATCAAACATACACCAATCCTCGTCAGTTTTCAATTTGAGCAGTTCCATCGACCAGTGTAGGAAAAATCTGTAGATTGACATGAGAACATTTTTTCTCATATAAATAAATTTTTTGTATTTCTATTGCAACCTAGTTCTTTGGGACAACATTTCCTACACTTTCTGTAGCAGTAGTAAATGAATAATTTTCAATATTGCCTTCATCTTTATGTACATAAATTAAGAATTTACAACAAAACTCAAAGTTATGAGTTGATGCCTATTAATGATATCAAAACCAGTAAAAACTATTACATGAATTGTTATTTCAGGAGGAAGCCTTACCTATGCTTCACATATATTTTAATAACCATATAAGTTGCAACCCTTCTTAAATATTAATTATTAGTCTAAAATAACTACTGTGCGGATTTAAGCATGTCTCCTACCTTTTATTACGGTTACTAAAATTAATGAGTCTACTCCAAAAGTTTTAGCTGCTTACTTAACAAATAGTACACTTCATTTATAACCTTTTTAAAACTAATTCAGTTTGATTAAGTAGAAACAAAGATGGTAATAGCATCTTTTAAAGACGTTTTCGGGTATGATATACGACGTTTTTAGTAATGTAATGTAATGGCAATTTTGCATACTGCCCTTTTAAATGAGCTATACAGGATTCAATACTGTTTTTTGTATACATAACTTTACTGATCTAGCCTAAAATGCTATACAAGGAATCTTTGTGATTTGTTAAAAACTACTGGTACTACAGGGGTTAACCTTTATCCTGGATTTTCAATCACATCCATAAATGGCACCATAGGCTGAATGACGTCAATATATTTTTACTAAAAATCTGTAAAGCTAAAGACACTGCTTCGGTGGCGTTTGTGGTAATTAAAGTGTTCTCTACCCCTCGAGTCCAAGTCCTGTGATAGCTGGATAACTTCTTGTATTTATTATCTATTAATACGTGAGGTATGTCTAATAGTGCATAAAATATGACCATGAAGTCTATCTGTTATCACAACTCTACCTCTCTGTAAGAACATCATACCATTAGTTGCTATTAGAAAGGCATTTTCCAAAGGGTTATCCCCTTAGGCGTTGGAAAACCCCACCAGTCTTTAACTTTAACAGATACCCCTTCAGGTATCCTGGGTATTTTATAGGTTGATGTTTCTATGTTATTTCGTCTAAGCCATAATATATCATCCATGGGACTCATATATCGTTTGACTCGTCCAATCTGAAATGCCATATCCGGTGCCATAATTAGATTTGTTCCATTGTTGAAATACGTTTGAGCCATGGAAAGTGATTGTCGGTCCCTTAAAACTAATGTTAAATTCTTGTTACAACAATAAAACTGTTTGCAATGCTCGAAATGTGCATCGTTCAGTGCATATCCAACGATGTTTCCGCCGCCATGAACGAGAATAACGAGTTCTTTATTGGAATAGATTGCACTCATGTCCTTAGCATAGTGACGGTTTTTATCGCGACAATAGTTAAAACTGCAGTAGTAAATGAGATCAATACCCAGTCTTCGTAACAGATAAATTTCACCCGAAGAAATGGCTGGATCTCCTTTATTTTCGAACACAGCAACATCAAACAACATGGGGTACCGGAAACAACGTAGCAAATCTTTGAAGAGATTGAAATGTACTCTTTGAGCCTCTCGGGTAACTTCTGTGCTTGTTTTAAGATGCGGGGACAGAATATCAGTATCGTCAGGTGTCTTTATCAGCTTTTTTCTGAGAAATCGTTTTAGACGTGGTATATTTTCAAAATGACCGTCATTGACATCTGGTTCCAGATCTGACGTGTCCATCATGTCTAATGATTTTCTGCCAAATGAACGTGATTCGAAGTCTTCCAGGGGCATCTTTGCAACATTATCATACCTATATCGTAATTTTATATTGGTGTCGCTATACATTCCAATTATACTCAAACAAGCGAAATGAGGAAAGCAGCTATCTTGATACTCATTCTGTCTCGTTTACCTGCGAAATAAATACATTTATAATATTACCACGTTTTGTCAAAATCTGTCAAGAATTGTGCCTTCTAGAGTGTTTACGAGCAAAAAATTGAACGCGTTTTCAAGAACAAGGGCAATAACTCATACTAAATATTTTCCGATTTTTATGATTTTCGATAGGGTTCATTCTTGGGTAATTACAAACACTCACAATAAGTTTCGTCAAAATCCACANAGAAATATGCCTTTTAGACTGTTTACGGGC